AAGCAGTGAGAGGTCTGGACCCATGTCTACTGAAGCAGGTTTGGACCCATGTCTGCTGAAGCAGTGAGAGGTTCTGACCCATGTCTAACCGGCTCCGTACCGCCGGATCGCTCCTCGACCAGCGGAGACAGCTGGACCGGAGCTCGGACCCGCTTCACCAGGCCAGGACACCGTAACTGGCAAGTTTGAAGCCCATCTCCAGACGGCAGTATTACTCACAGGTTCTGATCTGTTCTATCAGTCTGAACCGTATCAGACTAGTTAAAGTAAACCGTTACCTTATTAAACCACTAACTAGCTGCTAACATTAACCCGAAGCAGCCCTGTTCCGACGGACACACTCTTTAAATCATGTTAGAAAGTTCCCGGCTATCTGCTGGAGCTAGCTAGCTAGCTAGCATACCCCAGCCCAGACTGAACACAAAGACTCCCAGTAAACACCGCTAACCCGGTCGGACTGCATCGTGTCGGTCAGCCGCTGACCTACCGGTGTTCCTCTGGAAGCCGCCGGGAGGGATCTCAGCCATCCTGGTCCCGAAACATCTGGTAAACAGAGGTGCGTTTAGGCACTTCTTTTCTCTGCGCCTGCTTCTTCTTCGTCTTCTTCTTCTTCTTCTTCTTCTTCTTGCGTCGCTTCTTCTTCTAGTTTGGTAGCCGTTTGGGAGGCCTGCACCATCGTCCCCTGCCGGATTGGAGTGTGTAGCGCGGCTCGGCAGGCAGCAGAAGAAGAAACTGTCTCCTCACAGTCAGTCAGTCGGTCGTGGGTTCGAATCCGGGCTCCTGTGTGGAGCTTGTAGGTTCTCCCTGTGCAGCGTGGGTTCTCTTCGGGTTCTCCCCCCGAACACAGATAACCCTCTCTGTACATTCTGCTGCTCAAACTGCTGTTTTAATTGCTGCTTTTTAATATACTTGTTGTTACTTTTTATTATGATTATCATCCATCCATCCATTATCTATACACCGCTTAATCCTCACTAGGGTCATGAGAGAGCTGGAGCCTATCCCAGCCGACTTAGGGCGAAGGTTGGGGACACCCTGGACAGGTAGCCAGTCTTATTATTATCATTATTATTGTTATTATTATTATAATTTTCTTTTAGGACTGACACAGTTGGTAGCACTGGTGCCTAGCAGCAAGAAGGTCGCCGGTTCACATCCCGCTGGGGGCACCTGGGATCTTTCTGCGTGGAGTTTATATGTTCTCCCTGTGCAGCGTGGGTTCTCTCCAGGTTCTCCGTCTTCCTCCCACAAGTCCAAAAAGCATGTTGAGGTTAACTGGTGATTTTAAATTGTCCATAGGTGTGAATGTGAGTGAGCTTGGTTGTCTGTCTCTAGATGTAGCCCGTGATAGACTGGCGACCTGTCCAGGGTGTCCCCTGCCTTCGCCTTAAGTCGGCTGGGATAGGCTCCAGCCCCCCCCCCGCGACCCTAGTGAGGATTAAGCGGTGTATAGATAATGGATGGATGGATTTTTCTTTTACTTATTGCTGTACATAACCTGCTGCTGACATCTCTGACCTATATGGTCACTACTGCCTCATCACCTCTGCAGCAACACTCACACTGTTACTGGCAGCAGGCTGCCACTGCACATAATCTGCTGCTTTCGCCTACCCACCTTTTTGTGTGTTGTTTTTCTTTCTCTTGCTCATTTTTATTGTGTCGCTCTTTGCCCACCTAATTGCTCCTCGGGGATAAATAAAGTTTTTTCGCACAATGGGTTGTCTCTTAATGTCCAGGCCTATATTTCAATAAACAACATAGCATGGGGCTGTGTTATCCTGTTAGGTCACATACAATCAACAGAATTATAAGATAGAGCGTGAAGGTTAACATAAGTACGCTAACCTGTACAATAAACTAAAGTTGTGGCTGGTAAGTATCACTAACGGCATCTGCAGAGGTATCAGCATTACTAGCTGTAACATCTGCATTTCCTAATATCATGAGGAAAAACCAATAAAGAAGGCAGTTATATCTTCAAATCATTTATTTTATAGGGAATCTGCTCAAAGCAAAACATTAGACTCTGTTGGCTACATGACAGAAAAAAACTGTATCCAGAGTTGACATGGCAAAAACTGGGTTATAACTGACCAGGCTATTAACCAATGACACCTTTAGTACTGGTCATGAGTTTGACAAATTAGTTTGTGACATGTTTAAGAATATTACTTAAAACTCATTCCGCACTGACAATTAACTGAAGATCTTAGTGCAATAACAAACAAAGACTCTGAGGACATAATGTTAAGAGAAGGGCTAACTTATCGACTCACAATTCAACTATTCTAATCAACACAATATCCAGCTGTGAATAATAAAAGATTAGTTGCAGCCCTTTTTTAAACCCTTCTTTTCTTTAACTTCTGATATGTCGCCAACATGACAATTCAACAAGTCTTAAGAAGAAGAAGCTTTATTGTCATTGTACAAGAGATACAATGACATATCGTTTGGCATTGTCTTTGCAGGGCTGCAAGGTGTCTCAGTGGTTAGCACCGTCGCCTCACAGCTGGAAGGTCACCGGTTTGTGTCCCAGTGAGGACACCTGGGATCTTTCTGTGTGGAGTCTCCATGTTCTCCCTGTGCAGCGTGGGTTCTCTCCAGGTTCTCCAGCTTCCTCCCACAGTCCACAAACATGTTGAGGTTAACTGGTGACCCTAAATTGTCCGTAGGTGTGAATGTGAGTGTGCTTGGTTGTTATAGACTGGCTACCTGTCCAGGTGAACCTGCCTTCACACTGAGTCAGCTGGGATAGACTCCAGCCCCCCACGACCCTAGTGAGGATTAAGGTGTAGAGATGATGGATGGATGGATGGATGGATGGATGGATGGATGGATGGATGATGGATGGATGGATGGATGGATGGATGGATGGATGGATGGATGATCTTTGCAGCAGCTAATATGGTCACAGTCTAAAAAAAAATGTTAAAAGGTGATATAAATGACAAAATAGCAGTAAAACAAATACTCTATTAAAAGCACAAAAGAGCATCTGTTAGAATGAGCTGTAAACTGAGTGTCATGGTTCCTGCAGCAGTCTGTTCACGTCCATGGGGAAACGCTATGTGTCTGCTGGTGATGCTGAGTCTGCCAGAGGGGAGGCTAATAAATAGATTATAAACTGCTGTCATAAATTATGTTATTAATAATAATAATAATAATAATAATAATAATAATAATAATAATTGATCAGATTTATATAGCGCTTTTCTGGACACTCAAAGACGCTTTACACTGTCAATTATTCATTCACACACATTCATTCTGGTGGTGGTAAGCTACGATTGTAGCCACAGCTGCCCTGGGGCAGACTGACAGAGGCATGACTGCCATTCTGCGCCTACGGCCCCTCCGACCACCACCTCAAACAATCCATTCATACGCATTCACACCAGGCAAGGTGGGTGAAGTGTCTTGCCTAAGGACACAACAACCATGAAACAGGTTACAGGGCGGAATCGAACTGCCAACCTTCCGATCATCGACCGACTCGCTCTACCACCTGAGCCACAGCCGCACAATTGTTTGTGTTTACCTTTGACTGGTTGCAAGTGTAGGACAACATGATGAATGATTCATATAGAGACAGGGCTGCTGTTAAAGGGTCACCACAAAAAGACTAATTGGATCTGTGCTATGGAGGCAATGTGCGAGTGCAAACTTGTCCATTAATACTAATTTCACAACCTAGAAAAACTTGACCCTATATTACTGTGATGGCCACACTGCAGCCCCACAAGGAGTATCCCCACACCACACTGTCTGCTCTCCACACCTTTTGATTTCTGTCATTTAGTTTATGTACTTTTTACAGTCATCATGCACACACATCAACTGACAGATAAATGACACATGACACATAGTACTGATTTCATATGCCATACTCACAGCTTCATTTATACACAACATTGTTTCTAGTTTGTTAGTGTGCACATTCTAGTTACTTTGTCATTGTATGTTCTGTTTACTTTCTTTTCTTTATTAAACCATTAGTTCCAGGTGTGGCCCCAGTTAAGAGGAGCCAGTGTGCCCAGCTGCCCCAAATCCTGGTGATAAGGGGTAATTGGAAGGGACGAACTGTGGCTGCTCACTATTTGAGTTGTAGTATTATTACTATTAAGTAGTATTATGTAGAATATATTATCTTTTTTTTTGTTGTTTTCCCTTAAACCTAGCCTTATGTCTCTTGTGTTTTGTTTAGTAGTGTTTGTTTCTGTCTATCCCCCTGTTTAATGGTCTGATCAGCCAGTTTAAAAAAACCCCAGTGTGTGTGTCAGGGTTAGGTCAGTTTGTGCTCTGTTCTGTTTGGGTTAGGTTGGGGTTTTCTTTAGTTCAGTTCAGTTCAGTTCTGTTTAGTTAACCTCTTTTTATGGGCCCAGAACCGTTTTTGCTTTTCATTATGTTATATCTTTTTGGTCTTTTTGTTCAATAAATACCTGGTTTTTGAAACTTTCAATTTGCTTTCCTTGTGCCTGCCTGCTTGGTCCCTCACAATTACATTACAAGCTAACCTAACTCACCACCTCACCTTCCCATTGGCTAAATAATGAAGACACCATTGTCCTCTTTTCTGGCGATTGCTGTATATTAGTATGCCCTTTGCTTGATTAGAGCATTTGCAACATGATGTCAGTTAACTAAATTAAGATAATAACTAAATAGTTCTGCTGACCTCAGTGTGTTTCTTTAGATTTAAAGGTGAATTTTTGAAAGCCAGTCGTTCTTTTCTTTGAGACAGCTGAGACACTGGAGCCTATATATTCAAACATGTCCTGTAAACAGGGCCAAGGGTGGCTCGACTCAGGGGCTCAGTCTCTGGGTCGAAAAAATTGCACATCAGCTTTTGATAAAAGTTGTGACTTGATAGAACTGCACATGTAACTGTTAGCCTTAATAACAGGAGATATTCTGAAACACTAAAATGAACAAACATGCAAACACTGTTGCGTTTTCACTGTTTACCGACTGAATTCATCACTGACTTTCAATTACATGTTAATTAACACTCAACAACACTCAGTATATGAACTGGGTGTTTGTTTTTTTTGTTCCAGATGAAGGATGTTAGTGTACACAAGTTGAGCAAATAGTCATTTACTGTACCAAATGTCAGGATGTTAACAGATAATGACACTGCCGCTCCTAAATGCACACTCTGCTGTCACTGGAGGCCGGATAGCAGCACCTGATTGGTTTAAACGCCACCAGTATTTTTTGTGAAGACAGCGTTTTGATGACTGATCAATCATTAAATGTCACGAGGTGCTTTTTGGAAATGCAGTGGAGTAGAAAGTACAGATAATAGCTGCAAAATGTAAAGGAAGAAAAGTCAAAAGTATAGTCTATATGTTTTACTAAAGCATATAGCATATAAATTCATATTATGCTAAGTGTCCATCCATCCAACAGCCTCAGCATGTTTCTGGACTGTGGGAGGAAGCCGGAGAACCCAGAGAGAACCCAAGCTGCACAAGGAGAACATGGAGACTCCACGCAGAAAGATCCCAGGTGTCCTCTTATGCTAAGTGTATTTTTTTTAATTAATAGCTTCAACTGTCTTGTTTTCTTTGTGCATTTCAACAAGCTTCACATACAAAAAAGATAAATTCCGTAGAAAATAAATCTTAACACTATGACTTAATTAATGGCCGTCAGCTGTACATTACTTTTTACAGTGCATTGTGGGATACTTTTGAGTGAACTATATAGGGTGTAACAACTGTAGCTCAACATTTGGGCAGCACTACAACATGGCAAACACACTATATCAGGCTCATCTCATTTCACTAGTTTCAGCCTCTTTGGTGCTCTGGCCTGTGACCCAGACATCGATCTTGGTGCATTAATAAAAAGGGTGCGTCTCATGTCCTTACAGTACTGCTGGATACACAGGTGTTTCCTGTTTCCTTGTGTCCCTGATGGAGTTTTTCATACACCTGTGACATAAATGAGGCGTGACACACTGCTGGAGTATGTAAACTATGTGGACATGTTTATGACATTTAATATTAATATGTCACGCTTTATTTGTGTGGTACTATTGTGTGCCACGACTTCTTTATACTTCACACTGTATGTGTGTGTTAAATACGAAATACAAACGTATGACATGTTCATTCACATCACATTCTGCTATGTTGTGACTTGAATTATAAGTAAAAATGTATATTATCATGAACAGTGTTCTATCATCTGACAGAGATCATAAGACACAGCAGTAGGTCAGAATAAGACAGTGGACAGGTGATGTAGCTGTCTGTTGTTGGACAGGCTGGTCCTGAGTGTGGGCTGATCTGGGAGGGAGGTGTCAGTTAGCTAAAGCTATGGCTTTGTTTGTATTCTGTAATGTTCCTGATGATGCGAGGGTGGTCTCTCTAAAGTTGCTGTTTGTTTTGTCATTTAGCTGCTTGAATCCTTAGTGCAGTTCTTCTCTGGCTCTCCTTCAGGCATCTCCTGATCTGAGGCTGGGTCCCTGGCATTGAGCAGCACTCATACTTCTGTTGGTGAACCAGGGTTTTTTAATGGGGAATGTTCTCACCATTTTTGTAGTGGTTGCATTGTTGATTGTTAATGTATGAGTACAGGATGTATGGTGCTTCAGATCAGGATGGTCAAAGAGTTCAGTCCATCCAGTCTCATCAGAGCAGTCCTGCAGTAATGCTGATGTTTCCTCAGTCCAGACCTGCACTGTTTTGGACCGAGGTTTGGTTCTGCGGACCATGTGTTGGGGTATGTGGGAGTCAGATGATCAGTCAGATGGTCCCAGATGGGGAGATGGATGCGTCCTGTACACTCCAGGTATATCTGTATATTACAGATATAAATATACTTGCAATATATTACTTACTAACTCCATATTTATTAATATTTATTGTTGCACCAACCCACCAGAGCTAATTCCTCCTATAGTGTAAACTATACCTAGCAATAAATCTGATTCTGATTCTGACACTGCAATGTGTAGTTTAAAGTGATGTGGGCTTTTGTAACTTCCTGTCCGCTGGCCCCGCCCCCTTCGCTCCGTCCCCTGCTGTGTTGGCGGTTAACCTCAGACGGGTCTGTAGTTTAAACGTCTGAAAGTACATAACAACCGACTCCTACACTGCCGGTACTGGCTGCTGACGTCTGGGAACCACCGTTACCGTAAAAAACACAGCTGCCTGGAGACACCGGACATGACGTCGCCAAGGAATGATCGGACCAATAGGGAGCTGACAGGAGATTTGTGCACGCGCGCGCGACCCGTGGCCAGCATTGAGGACGTCGAGCAGAATGTTCCGGACGGTTCTGGTGCCGCTGCTGCTGTTCGGCGCTTTGTGCTGCGAACTTGCCGACGCGCAGAAGAAAAAGGAGGTAACGTAGACCCGGTAACGTAGACCCGGTAACGGTGCGCAGGAAGTTTAAAAACAGGAAGTCTGAACTTTGGTAAAGTTGGTGCTACTTTGGCTCCGTCCGGCTCCGCTAACTTAAGCTAACAGGCACCAGAACTGTACTTTAGCTCATTCAGCTTTTAACACTTAAGCTCAGTATGACAGCGCGGAGCTCACAAGTTCTCAACAAGTTCCAACAAGTTGATCGTAACTCACTGATAACTTGTGCTGAACCAAAGCACTGCATCTGAACGGAACCGTCCTCCACAGCTCAGTGATGTTCAGGTCTGTGGTCTGTATCTGTATAGACGCTGCTGTCGGAGAAGGTGACCCAGATGATGGAGTGGGCCTCCAAGCGCTCAGTGATTAGGATAAACGGGGACAAGTTTCGTCGCTTCGTGAAGGCTCCTCCCAGGAACTACTCGGTGGTCATCATGTTCACGGCGCTGCAGCCTCAGAGGCAGTGTGGGGTCTGCAGGTGAGGAGTAAAACAGCACTGGTGTGTGTTGCTGAAGTGATCATTTATCTATTTATGGGTGTGTGTGCATCTTTTTTTTCCCCAGACAAGCTGATGAGGAGTTCCAGGTGCTGGCTAACTCCTGGCGTTACTCCTCTGCCTTCACGAACAGAGTCTTCTTTGCATCTGTGGACTTTGATGAAGGATCAGATGTCTTTCAGATGGTGAGACAGCTTCTCCAAGACTGGGGATGTTCTTTTTATTTGATATAACTTTTCCATCCAACACAGAAAACGTGTCATTGTGGTCTAAGATCTGTGGTTGAACTCAAAACCACCAGTGGGCCAGCTGAACCTACTGACCAGTAGACCCTCACAGGGCTCAACATTCACTGTTTCACTCGTTGCACTGGAGCGACCACCTTGTCAGTCCCACCTGGTCACTGGCCAAACACCTCAGTAGCTCAACATGTGCTTATTGATAGATACCACATGTACAGACGTTCCCTAAACACCTCATGCTGCTACAGTCGTCCTTACATGTATTCATCCCCTTCCACCAAAGAAAAGGCAAAATCCACAACAGTCCCTCAAATAACAAGTAACTGAAAAAAAGTAATGATAAATAAAAATTTGCTGAATTATAATTTAGTGAAAAAAGACGTTGCTTTTGAATTGTGGTTGGAAAGAATAATTTTTTAAAAACTAATAAAACAGTCCCAGACACAATAGATAGATAGATAGATAGATAGATAGATAGACATTTATTGTCACAGTATAAAAAAACAGCAGTTTAACACCGGGCAATGAAATTGTCTCGTTTGCACACTCCCATATACAGAATAATATATAATAAAGAATATATATATGTATATAAGCAAATAAACAAATCTAACAATAATAGAAATAGATACAAAAGAATAAAAGCAGACCGAAACTAAGGTGCATAGAGTCTATTTAGAAGTAGCAGCATCAGTGAGGTGACGTAGCAGCAGGTCTGTCACTTAGAGACAGACAACCAAGCACACTCACATTCACACCTATGGACAATTTAGAATCACCAGTTAACCTCAACATGTTTTTGGACCTTGTGGGAGGAAGCCAGAGAACCTGGAGAGAACCCACACTGCACGGGGAGAACATGGAGACTCCGCGCAGAAAGATCCCGGTGCCCCCACCGGGATGCGAACTGGCGACCCTTTTGCTGTGAGGCAACAGTGCTACCAACTGCGCCAGCTTGCAGACCTTAATTATTTATAGCCCGCTTTATGAAACCTGGTATCATATCTAAAATTAATAAGTAGTTAACACATGGTAGTGAACTAGATATGGGTGCTAACTTTGAACATATTAGATGAGATCGATGCATCCTTAAAGTTCTGAATTTCACAAGCGGATATGATTCAGCAGCACTATTGAACCCACTGCTGCACATGTGTTTGTGTGTTTGCAGCTCAATATGAATTCTGCGCCGACCTTCCTCCACTTCCCAGCCAAAGGAAAACCTCGCAGGTCTGATACGTACGAGCTACAAGTCAGAGGCTTTGCAGCTGAGCAGCTGGCTAGATGGGTGGCAGACAGGACAGATGTACAGGTAAGCACAGAATGTGTTGTTAGCTCCAAGTGACCAGGGGCTCTGAACCAGATCCATCACTGTGTTTGCTGTGATGAAGTAAATACTGACTCTGAAGACTAGGACGATGGGTATCTCTGATGATGTTAGTCACGCCTGTCTGTTTCAGATCCGTGTCATTCGTCCTCCCAACTATGCAGGGCCTCTCCTGCTGGGCTTTCTCCTGGCTGTGATCGGAGGACTGGCATATCTACGAAGACACAATTTGGAGTTTCTCTTTAACAAGAACGTCTGGGCCTTTTCTGCACTGGTAACGACAACCAACACCTGCACATACATCCTGACATGGATAAGCACGTGGTGCTGGTACCAGTAGGTAATCCTCTAAAAGCCAAGGCAGGTTTATCTGTACAGCATGATTCGTAGCCGAGGTCATTCAAAGTGCTTCACACAAAAGTATAAGAAGA